CACCCATAAAAATGATCTATTGGATAGTTCAAGCCCCAATGCCTCGTCTTGCTCTGGATAAGGTATGTGAAAATTAATGTTCATGTATATTTCATAAAGAATTCATGTACGTATATATAAAATGCTAGAGTGGCTAAGTAAGACGAGATCGTAAGCTAATGGTATGGAATGGAAATAAGGTAACGGCTAGGAAATAAATGTGCCTGACGGCTAGCTAACGGCTAGTGATTGATTTTGTGCTACGACTGAGATTCTATACTAGTGAATATCTCTAACAAGGTATGATCCCCAAGATATGAATTGCCCATTCTGACGCTATTAACTCTGTGTTCTGGAGTCAAGCTGGATGGTGTTTTTTTTTTCATAGTTGAATTGAGTCTTCTTTACTCCTTTTGCCGGAGTCTCTTCCTTCAGATTCTTGAGAAAATGTAGTTCTTGTTTTCTTGGTGATGAACATTGTCTTTGTATCATGGCATATGTTATAGTGTTTCTCTGCTTGTACTTATAAGGCTTACTTAAGTTTGATGTGGTTAAAAATTGAAATGGTCGTGTTCGTTACCAAATTTTATAGGAACATAATTTTATTGCAGAGTTTCATACATGAAGAAAAAAAGATAGAAAATATGGCAAAGAAAATGATACAGCAACCAAACCGAAAACAACTTGTCTATGATTTCAACCATTCAATGAAACTCTTAAGATGCTGGTCAGAGGAACCACCTTCTTTGATGTTGTTCATAGTCTTCTCCTTTGATTCAAGAGCCCTCACTTCAAAATTCTCAACACCTAGTAGTTTCTCTATTTTACATTTAATCTCTTCTCCTCTGATAATCCCACTTTCATCCTTCTCAAATTTCAACCCCACCTTCCAAATCTCACAAATGTAGCTCTTGTTCAAGAATTGGTCACCAAAGTAGGGCCAGCAGAGGAAAGGGACCCCCGTTGCTTACCCCCTCCATGGTGGAATTCTAGCCACAGCGACTCATAAAGCAAGCAATGGAAGGATGACCTAGAACTACTTGTTGTGGTGCCCAATCCAGCATCCTTCCACGATCAACCACTCTATTATGAAACCCATCTAGGTATGCATTGTCTTTACCTTCCATAATATCTAGTCTCACAACCCATAGACATGGTCTATTGGAGAGTTCAAGGGCTATTGCTAATTCTTGGAATTGTGTATGATTGAGAATAGTGAAGCTGCCAAATGCCATGTATATGACTGAGCACGGCAACTGTTGGTCAAGCCATTTCAAACAAGAGGTATCCCCCGGCCAGAAATTAACCTCTAAGTTTCCTTGTTTGTCAAGTCCTGAAAGCGAGCCCACAGGGAAGAGCTTGGGAACCAAAGCAAATGCTTCATCCTCTAGGTCGTATATTGAGTTGCAGAGTAACCACTCTGCTTTGTCAATAGCTCTAATGTTTCTCAACATGAGATCAAACAAAATCTTTTGGGTGGTGAAGTTCTCAATGGTTGTCCACATAAAAGTGGAAGGGTTCATATATTGCAAGTGTATTTGGCAGTAATCGAATCATCTCGTGTTTTAGTGGAGTACATGCTAATGAAATTTCACAATTAATTTGAGGATTACTTGAGAATTGTGTACAATATTTCATTCTTACCATTTTCATCAATAACTCCATCATCAATCAGATTGGGGACGGTAACAATCAAGGCTAGAAGCATGGTTGCAACTTCAACTCCCAATCCCATCGTCATATTAGCTAGAACACATGTAATCTCATCGTTATCTGTTTGACTAATCTTCTCTATTAGCTGCTTGAGCTCACTTGGCATGAACTTCCAGCATGCTTCAGCAAACTTCCCTAAATGATTCCTGTTTTCCTTAGTACCTATCCCATTTGGAATTAAAACTAGACAAACTTGCCCTTCAGGTTCTTTGCTCAATGCATTTGTGATTCGTTTGTGGTTGAATTGTATTCACAAATGTGATTTTGATGCCATGCTTGATCAAGATTTGTGAGAGCTCCATCAGAGGAATTGCATGGCCTTGGGTTGGAAGAGGAACAACCAAAATATGTGGATTTCCCGTCCATTGATATGAAGCCTATTTTCTAGACACAAGCTCATGCTTCATTTTATATATGGTTGAATTTTAGCCTTTTTTTTAAGTTTTCTTGTTGATGCTCTCAAATTTTTCCCAAACTAATGCATGAGTCCCCAACTAAGAGAAGTGCATCTAAGCCCTAAAACCATGAAATTGATGCAAATTGTGCCTCCTCAGAATGTCTCTGCAATAACCTTCAATTGATTACCACTAGGACGAGAGTTTGATTCGCACTTTTTTTAATTAAAAAAAATAACTTTTATTCTTAGATAAAAGAAGTATTTATTTTTAATTAACCACAACTTAAGTAATTGTACTTATTATAATAAGGGTTGTAATTATATAGTAAAATAGAAATAAAAATGTCAAATAATATTAT